GCTGCAGAACTCACGGCTGTGAGGCCGTAACACAGCTAAGAAATAATAATAAAACACCAGAGTGACCATGAACAACCATCTCAGGTGCCTTCAGTGCCCACCTGGAGAAGGGCTGGCAGCCTGCAGCGGGTTGGCAGCAGGGCTGGCACAGCTGGTTGGTGGCACTTTGGTGACTCTGTCCCTCCTCAGGTCCGGACCTTCAACGAGGCGCGGCTGATGGTGCGGCGGCCGGCGCTGGAGATCCTCGGCTACCTCAGGGGCGCCAACCTGGCCCACCCTGCTGTCAGATACGTCATCTGTATCCTTCAGCTGGGCTGGAACAGAGAAACACAAGGAATTCCTGCAGGGGAGAGGGTGGTCTGGTCTCCAGGAGGTGGGGACGTTCATTCCCCAAGCACAAAATGCATTGCAGAAATGTTTGCAGAATTTACAGGAATATTTACAGAAATATTTTCAGAATTTACAGGAATATTTTCAGAATTTACAGAAATATTTACAGAAATATTTCCAGAATTTACAGAAATATTTCCAGAAATATTTTCAGAATTTACAGGAATATTTNTTCCATTATTCCAATTGCCCTTTTCCAGGATATCAATTGCCCTTTTCCATGGTGCCAATTCCCATTTTCTCTCCCAGGGTCCCAATTCCCATTTTTTCTCCCAGGGTCCCAATTCCCATTTCCAGGGTGCCAATTGCCATTTTCCAGTGTGCCAATTCCTATTTTCTCTTCCAGAATGCCAATTCCCATTTCCAGGGTGCCAATTGCCATTTCCATGGTGCCAATTGCCATTTCCAGTGTCCCAATTCCCATTTTCCATGGTACCAATTCCCATTTCCAGCGTCCCAATTCCCATTTTCCAAGGTACCAATTCCCATTTCCAGGGTGCCAATTCCCATTTTCTCTCCCAGAGTACCAATTCCCATTTTCCAGGATGCCAATTCCCATTTCCAGGGTCCCAATTCCCATTTTCCATTATTCCAATTGCCCTTTTCCAGGGTCCCAATTGCCCTTTTCAAGGATGCCAATTCCCATTTTCTTTCCCAGGGTCCCAATTGCCATTTCCAGGGTCCCAGTTCCCATTTCCAGGGTACCAATTCCCATTTCCATGGTCCCAATTCCCATTTTCCAGGGCCCCAATTCCCATTTCCAGGTCCCAATTCCCATTTCCAGGATGCCAATTCCTATTTTCTCTTCCAGAATGCCAATTCCCATTTTCCAGAATCCCAATTGCCATTTTCTCTCCCAGGATGCCAATTTCCATTTTCTCATTCAGAATCCCAATTCCCGTTTTCTCTTCCAGAATCCCAGTTGTCCTTTTCTTTCCCAGGGTCCCAATTCCCACTTTCTCTTCCAGTGTCCCAATTCCCATTTTCTTTTCCAGGGTGCCAATTGCCATTTTCCAGAATCCCAATTCCCATTTTCTGTGCCAGGGTGCCAATTGCCATTTTTCAGAGTCTCAATTGCCATTTTCTTTTCCATGATGCCAATTGCCCTTTTCTCTTCCATGATGCCCAATTCCCATTTTCTCTCCCAGGGTCCCAATTCCCATTTTCTCTCCCAGGATGCCAATTCCCATTTCCAGGGTCCCAATTCCCATTTCCAGTGTCCCAATTCCCATTTCCATGCTGTCAATTCCCATTTCCATGGTGCCAATTCCC